AGACACATAGACCAATTAGAATTGAGAACCCAGAAGTAAATCTGTCCACCATTGGACAGCTGATATGCGGCAAGGGGTCAAAGTTCATTAATTGGAAAAAGATAATCTCTTTAACAAATGATGCTGGCAAACTGGCTATCCATTTGCAGAAGAATGAAGCAAGAGCCACACTTCATACCATACACAAAAACTGAATCAAACACCTAAACGTAAAATCTAAAGCTATAATGATTATGGAAGAAAAAGTAGGAACAACGCTGGGGGCCCTAAAATATGTCATAAATAGAATACCAAAGATAACTAGAGATTCACAAACAGCAGAATATAATAAACTAGATAACCAGGATCTCCTAAAAATTAAACACTTAAACTTAAGCTCGTCAAAAGACTTCACCAAAAGAGTAAAAAGAAAACCTACAGACTGGGGAAAAAAATTTAGCTACGACATATCCGACAAGGGTATCCAACTTCAACACCTCAACAACAAAATGGCAAACAATCCAATTAAAACATGGGCAAAGGACACGAACAGACGCTTCACCAAAGAAGAAGTTCAGGCGGCAAACAAACACATGAATAGATGCTCACGATCATTTGCCATTAGAGAGATGCAAATCAGAACTACACTGAGATACCATCTCACCTTGGCAATAATGGCACTGATCAAAAAAACAAAACAACAAGTGCTGACAAAGTTGTGGGGAGATTGGAACTCTTACACACTACTGGTGGGAATATAAAGTGGTACAACCACCGTGGGAAACAGTCTGGTGCTTCCTTAAAAAGCTAGAAATAGAAATACCATATGATCCAGCTGTCCTACTCCTAGGAATATATTCTAGAGAAATAAGAGCCATCACAGTTGCAGACATACGCGCACCCATGTTTATTGCAGCATTATTCACAATAACAAAAAGATGGAAGCAAATTTGCATCCACGTATGCCCATCAATGGATGAATGGGTATACAAACTGTGGTACGTACACACAGTGGAATACTATACAACAATAATAATGGTGAATCCGTGGATGGATGGACTTGGAGGACATTATGCCAAGTGAAATAAGTCAATCACAAACGGACAAACTGTGATACCACTATTGTAAATCATCAAGAAAAGGTGTACAGTCCACATAAACCAGAGACCCTATCAGCCTGAGACCAGAAGATCTAGATAGTGCCCGGCTACCACCATCTACTGCCCTGACAGGGAACACAACAGAGAGTCCCTGACGGAGTAAGAGAATACTGTGAAGCTGAAGTCAAATTCACGTAAAAAGATCGCACTTAATGGTCTGACTGAGACTGGAGGAACCCCCAAGGCCATGGCCCCTAGACACTCTGTTAACCTAAACTAAAACCATTCCTGAAGCCCACTCTTCAGACAAAGATTAGACTGGACTATAAAACAAAATAATACTTGTGAAGAACTAAGAAGTTAAAGCAGATGCATGAGACCAAATGGGCAGCTCCTGTCTGCAGGCAGGATGAGAGGACAGGAAGGGACAGGAGCTGGTTGGAGGCACATGGGAAACCTGGGGTGGAAAGGGGGAGTGTGCTGTCATAGGGGTTGCAACTAGTGTCACATAACAGTATGTGTATAAATTTTTGTATGAGAAATTTACTTGATTTGTAAACTTTACCTTAAAGCACAATAAAAAAATTAAATATTAAAAAAAAAAGGTTTATACATAGAAAAACATTTTTTGATGGTTACCAGGAATGGGAGGGGGAAAGAGGGAAAATCACTAACTATAGAGTAGACGCGTTAACTTTGGTGAAGGGTAAGGCAGTACACAATATGGGGCAAGTCAGCACAATGAAGGTGAATACTTTAACATACATAATCCTGCAGCAACAGTAATAACAATAATTATGAGTGAATACATAGGTACATATGTACGCTGAATAGTTGTGGGAGTGCCTATGGGAGTACACCCACGTGCTGTGGATAATTCTGCCTACATATTTGTATGTGCTGCATGTATATTTGTATATATAATAGCAAGCACAGTGGGCACAGTCATAGAAACAGCCTAGACATAACTGAACACCTCAGGGTACTGAGTTACTGGGCTTGAAGGCTAAGGACCATCGTCTTTGAGGACATCTAGGTCAATTGGCATAACATAGTTTATAAAGAATACATTCTACATCCTACTTTGTTGAGTAGCATCTGGGGTCTCAAAAGCTTGCGAGTAGCCATCTAAGATACAACTATTGGTCTCTTTCTGTTTGGAACAAAGAGGAGTGAAGAAAATCAAAGACTCAAGGAAACAGTCCAAAGGACTAATGGACCACTGGAACCATAGCCTGCATCAGCCTGAGACCAGAAGAACTAGAGGGTGCCCAGCTACCACTACCGACCATTCTGACCAGGATCACAATAGAAGGTCCTGGTTAGAGTGGGGAAAGAAAAAATACAGAACAAAATTCAAATTCATAAAAAACACCAGAGACTGGAGGAACCCCCGAGACTATGGCCCTCGGACACCCTTCTAACTTAGAACTGATGCCATTCCCGGTTATCACCTTTCGGCCAAATAATAGGCCTATAAACAGTAACACAACGTGAGGAAAATGCTCCTTAGAACAATCATCTACATGAGACCAAAAGAACAACATATGTCTAAAAGCAAAGATGAGAAGGCAGGAAGGGGCAGGAAAACCAGATGTATGGAAATGGGGAACTCAGGGTGGTAATGGGGAGAGTAGTGACACATTGTGGAGATTGCAGCCAATGTCATGGAACAATTTGTGTATGAACTATTGAATGGAAATCTAAGTTGCTCTGTAAACCTTCAGCTAAAGCCAATAAAAACAAACAAATAAATTGACCATAGATGCAAAATAAGTAAAATATAGCCAAAGTGACGGTCATGATGGCCACAGGTACATCTAGGGGGAAAAAAGAATTGACTCTTTTCTCTCTAGAACCCGACTAGAGCTTCAGCCCACAGCTGGCCCATAGTAGTGGCTATACGAGGAGCATTGGGGAGATCTGGGGAGCAGGATTGGGGGCCCAGTACTGTTGGTGGTTGGTATTGGAGCCATGAGTAATTTGCGGGTGTTGAGAGTTGAGTTTGGATTGAAGGTTTAGGGTCGAGAATCAACTGAGATAGAGGGTTAGCAATTGACGTGGAAGTTAGCTAGTCATGAATTGGGGAAGACAACACAGGAGGTAGGACAGTTGAAGCGGTAGAGGGTTCAGAATTGTGATTAGGTAAAACGGGAGATTGCATAGCTGAGAAAATGGAGCTAGTTGGAGATGAGCATTGGGTGGTGTTGGGCACCGAGAGATGATGCCAGGTTGTGTTGGGTGTCGCCAAAACAAACTACCCCAGTTTCCATGGTTCACTAGGAGAACTCAACTCAGCATATAGTCATATTCATGGTTTTGATTTATGACCGCAGAAGGATGCAGAGCAAAATCAGCAAAGGGAAGGGGCTCATGGGAAAAGCCCGGAGAACTAGGTGCAAGCTTCCAAGTGTCCTCTCCCAGTGGAGTCACACAGAACACAATTCCTCCAGCAGCAAGTTGTGACAACACATGTGAAATAACGTCTACTAGGGAAATGGAGTGTCATCCTCAGGCCCATGCGTGTGCGTTGTAATTATCCAGGAAATGCATAGCTATGCAGCATTTCTTAAATTTCTTTGACCATAGAACATTGGTGCATTTTATAGGACTAGTTAGTATTCACCAGACAAATTTTGGAAACTGCTGCGAGGCGTCTGGTTTTCAAACATAGCAAAGGAGCCCTAGGTAAAAAGGAGACAGGCCAGGAGAGACCATGCCAGTCTTGTTGACCACGTGTGCCCTGTGCAGTGTAGACACGTGGAAGCACATCACACATTTCCTGAATGTCTGACTTAAGGAACGCATTGACAACTTTATTAAAAAGTAAACTTGAAAAGTAAAAGGCGAAGAAATTCTAAAGCGTTTGTATGATTCTCTTGACTGTATTGTAATCACCGTTTAGTCAGGGCTCTGTCAGTTTTGTTCCCTGTTGTTTGTATTCACAGAACCTGGCACGCCATAGGTGCTCCGTAAACGTTGAATAAATGGGTGCAATTCTGCTGGTGGTGTTACTGTAAAGATTTTGGTTGTCAGGTGAAAATTGTTCACCAAATTGAGGTAATTAATTACTTGGAGATTTAATTTATTCTGTCTTTCATCCCTGGATATTCAGAGTTGCATAGAAGTATTTTAAATATCTTTCAGCTCCCAAAACATTAGGATTTTTTAATCAAATATTTCTAACATACAAAAAAGAATAAATGTGAACACGTGGTATAAAAATAATAAATACCCGTGTGCCTATTACCCAGCATGAGAAATAGAACATTACCAGTTCCTTTGTATGCCCTTCCCTATCTCATACCTTTTCCTCTTCTCCAAGAGTAACTGTCATTTTATGCTTACCATGCTCTTGTCTTTCTGTTTCAACTTGACTATGTATATGTGTATCCCCAAAATAATGAATTGAGATTTGTTTTTTAATTTTATATAAATCACATGCTGTCGTGAACATTCTTATACATGTTTCCCAGTGTACATGTATAAGAGTTTTTCTAGAACAAATACCAAGCTATAGAATTTCTGGGTCATAGGGTTACATTTCCAAATTTACAAGATAATGCCGAATTTGTTTTTTAGCATACATTCCCATGGACAGTGCATGAAAGTTCCCAATGTTTCACAGCCTCTTTAGCATTTGGTATTATCTGACTTTTGCATTTTTCCAAATAGTATGATGGTTTTAATTTGCATTTCCCTGATTGTAATGAAATTGAAAATCTTTTCAGGGATTTACTAGCCATTTATGTTACCTGTATCATGAAATGCCTGTTCATGTCTCTTGCTTGTTTTTCTTTATCAGATTTGTAGGTGTTCCTTATATGTATATATTCTAGATAGTCATCTTTTGTCAGTTTTACATGTTGCAAGTATCTTTTCCCAGCTGTGGCTTACCATTTCACTTTTTTTTTTTTAAAGAGTGTGGGGACAATGCTGAAAGGAATGGCAAGGCTTATCTCCAGGGTCCATAAGGTAAGTCCTAACTGACTTGAACACTTTGTGCCTTGTCTTTTTAGGTGAATTTCTTGTTTTTAGATAGATGTGTTATCTACAGAATGAAATGCTCTTTGGAGGACATCAGCATACTAGTGCTTTAATTGGCAAGTCTACACTCACAACAGTCACAATTCCATTTCTCTGCCCATGCACTTCACTCCCAGCTGCTGTCCTGAAAATCTTCACCTAACAGGTCTCAGTAGAGTAGTTGTGCTGGAGAATTTACCATGTGATAGGAGAATTAACTTTTTTTTTTTTTCAAGCAAACATAGATAGGTTATCTTTATTAACTTTTATCATTTCTGTAGTAGGATTAATGACTACCATCCCTTAATGAAATACCTAAGAGAAAAATAAGTTGCTAGTTCAGATCTTTGGCATATAGTTTGTCAGTACCCTCTCTGTAGCAGATACTCAGGATCCTAAAATGACGCAGTTCACTAATAATAGTTACATTTGTTGGGATTCATTATGTGCCAGGCACTGTGCTGAGTGTTTTATCTCATTGAATCTTCATGACTGACTCATGAGGCAGGTATTAACCCTGCTTCACAGATGTAGGAACAGAATAGAAAGGCTGTGAGGTTGCAGAGCCCAGACTAGATGCCAGGTCTGTCTGACTTCAAAGCCTGTGGCCTTAACCACAATGCTGTATTGCAGCTTATGGTCCATGTTTTCAAGAACCACACGGTCCCATGGTAGAAATGTGAATGAGTGACTGTTAGAGTACAGTGATATTACAGCACCCAAGAGGAGCAACTAACCTGGATTAGAAGGGTCTAGAAGAAATCCTCTAAGAACCAACTCCTGAAGGCTAAGGACTGAACCAGAAGGATTGGGCACTTTCATCTGATAATTAGTTGCAGCTTAGATTTCCTAGAGAAGGGGCCTTTCCTCAGGGATTCATAATAAACTTATTTTCCGTATATAAAATAACCCATTGTTATAAAATAAAAATAAAATCAAGAATCAAAAGAGGGGTGGATTCTGGCCTCAACTCACCATATTAAAGGACTAAAATGTCTTCTTTCTTAGCACCAAATAAAAATTTCTTGAGGTCAGACTGTGGAGAGATGTCAGTGAGAAAAAATTTTGTGGTTTTTGTAGTTTGTCTCAGAGTGACCTTCTTGATTAACTCACTAAAGCTGTTCTTTCAAGAACTGCATAATGTTCATTCTGGAACTGTGCAGAGGCAATTATGCATATGGTTGTCTTCCCTGGAAACAACAGACTAGCTGGGTGGTGCCATATAGTACACTAAGAAGGAAGGAATCCATTTTGCTAGCTTTTAATTTGCTGCAAAAAGCATAACTAAAAAAATCATTAGATTACTGTAGAAATACCACCACCTTGTGGCCCTTGAATAGCTTTTTACTTGACTGCTAGTTTTTAAAGAGACATGGTGCTTTCTCTCCAATAGATTAACTTGAGTAGTTAGTACTAGGGTGGATTATTCAGGATACTATGCTTAGGTAACAGTGAATTCTCGATGGCTTAACACAGCAAAAGATATTGTTTGTGTGTGTGTATTTTTTTTTTTCTGTTGCTGTGTTTCCAGTGGGGTCTGCAAGCAAGGGGCAGGGTGGATATAGAGACAGAAGTTTACCATCTTGGTGAGAAACTTACCATCTCAGCGTGTTGCTTTTGAGCTTTTGAGCAGGGGAAGAGAACTTATACTTACTCTTAACTGCCTCTGGCTACATATGACACAAATTATTTCCACTCACAACTTACGCAGTCCACTTGTGGTCCCAACCTGTCTTCAAGGAAGGCTGGGAAATATAGAGGAGTATGTGGATATTTGGTGAACATGGCTACTGCCACAGAGTTCATTTACAATCATACATTCTCAGAGTTGAAACAACTTTATTACTTTCCCCATTGCTTTCTTTGGAAATCTTTAAGTACTACGTATTTGTGATACGTTAAGGACTCAAGTAGGTACAAAGATGAATAAAATATGATCCTCTTTCTCTCTAATGTGTATGGTCTAGAATGGGAAATAAACTTGTATATAACATGATATAATAGAAAGATTGGAGTCAGACAGACTTGGATTTTAATTCTGGTTCTACCACCTGCCAATTCTGCTGCCTTAGGTAAAATTACTTAACAGCCCTGCACTTTGGTTCATAAAACAGGAATGATAATATTCTGTCTTCTAGGATTCTTGGCTCAAAAAATAGTGCACATAAAACACTGTAGTGCCTAGTATCTAATAGGCACTCAATTAACGATATGTATGAGTACAGTTCAAGACAGAATAAAACTCTCATGCAATACAAAGAAAGTGGTATTAGCAGAGAAAGCAAAATAGTTACTTTTGACTGAAGGTGTCTGGTTAATGTTCACAGAGGATGTGGCATTTGAGATGAGCCTCGAAGAGTGGGTAAGATTTGAACAGGGACAGAGGGAAGCTGAAAGAGAATGAGCAGAACTGTTGTGTGTCGCCGAGTCAGTTCCCGTCCGTAGGGTTTCCTAGGCCGAAATCTTTATGGGACAGGCTGACCTTTCGGTTAGCATCTGAGCACTTAACCATTAAGCCACCAGGGCTCCAAGCAGAAGTACAGAGACATAAAAATGAATGACATGTTTAGCCTGGTCATGTGGCTAGGATGTAGAGTTTATGAAGAAATGAGAATAAAGTGGCCGTAATTATCATGCTAAGAAATTTGAGACTTCTTTTGACATTGGTAGGGAGCCAGCCAAGCTTTTTTTTTTTTCTTTCAGTCTTCTAAATTTAACTTATTTTGTTGTTGTTGAGAATATGCATAGCAAAACATACACCAATTCAACAGTTTCTACATGTACAGTTTAGTGACATTCATTACATTGAGTTGTGCAACCATTCCCACCCTCCTTTTCTGAGTTGTTCCTCCTTCATTAACATAAACTCGCTGCACCCTAAGGTTCCTAAGTTGCTATTGTCGATTTGATCCCATGTAGATAGTTCTTAAAAGAGCATAATGCTCAAGGCAGACCATTTTTACTAGTTAATCTAAACTATTGTTTGGTTTTAAGATGACTTCAGGGGATATTTTTGGTTTAAAGTTTAAGGGTTATCTCAGGGCAATAGTTTAAGGGGTTCATCCGCCCTCTGTGGCACCAGAAAGTCGAGAGTCCATGAGAATTTGAAATTCTGTTCTACATTCTCCCCCTTTTGATCAAGAGTCTTCTATAGACTATTTGATCAGATTGTTCAGTAGTGGTAGCTGGGTTCCATTGAGTGATTCGGTCTGATGGTGCCATGACTCTTTTTTTTTTTTTTACTGAAACCAGACTGATTCTGAAGATCACTAGAAGGTAGAACAGAAGCATCAAACACATTATTAGGCCAATTAACTGGGATGTCCCATGAAACCATGACCATAAACCTCGATACCAAGGGACCAAATCCCATGAGGTGTTTGGATATACATAAGCAGCCTCAGCAGCTATTCTCTTTTGTTGTTGTTATTGTAAATATACCTATGACACAACTTTTGCCAATGCACCTTTTTACAGGTGTACAACTTACAGTAATTATAATAATCAGCTGTGGAACAATACCCTTAATCAATGCGATTTTTCCATCACTGTTAACCTCCCCTTCCCCCCCTCCCTCCCACTCCTGGTAACCATTAATAAACTTTGGTTTCTATACACTTGCCTTTTCTTGTCTTTTTACAGAAGTGAGGCCATACGATATTTGTCCATTTGTGATTGGCTTATGTCACTCAACATAATGTCTTCAAGCTGCGTCCATACTGTAGCATGCATCAAGACTTTATTTGTCCTACTGGCTGAGTACTATTCCATTGTACTTACGTACCACAGGTTGTTTATCCATTCATCTGCTGATGGGCATTTAGGTTGTTTCCACCTTTTTGGCCATTGTGAACAGTACTGCCGTGAACATTGGTGTGCACATCTCTTTTTGAGTCTCTGCTTTCAAGTCTTTTGGGTATATACCTGCGAGTGGAATTGCTGGGTCATATGATACTTCTATTTTTAGGTTTTTGAGGATCCACCACACAGCTATACCATTTTGCATTCCCAGCGGCAACGGAGAAGGGTTCCAATTTCCCCACATCCTCATCACTTGTTATATTGTGTTTTTCTTTGTTTGCTTTTAATCTGAGCCATCCTCGTGGGAGTGAAATGGTATCTCACTGTGGTTTTGATTTGCATCTCTCTGACGGCTAATGACACTGAGCACCTTTTATGTGTTGGTGGCCTTTTGAATGTCCTCTTTGGTGAAATGTCTATTCAAGTCCTTTACCCATTTTATGATTGGATTATTTGTCTTTTTGTTGTTAACTTGTTCAAGTTTTATATATATATTGGTTATTAGATTCTTGTTGGATATATGGCTTCCAAAGATATTTTTCCAGTTGGTAGCTTGTCTTATCACTTTTTTGGTAAAGTCTGTTGATGAACAAAAGTTTTTAATGTTTATGCGGGCCCATGTATGTATTTTGCCGTTTGCTCTTTGTGCTTTTTTTTATTATATTAGATAATCCATTGTTGAAAGCTAGGCCTGACAGTGTTGCCCCTGCTTGTTCTTCTAAGAATTTTATGGTTTTAGTTTGCACATTTCGGTTCTTAATCCATTTTGAATTTGTTTTTTGTATGGTGTGAGGCATGGATCCTGTTTCATTTTTCTGCACATAGAAATCTAGTTTTCCCAGCACCATTTATTGAAGAGACTCTTCTTTCCCCAGGAAATGGACTTAGCACCCTTGTCAAAAATCAGTTGACCATAGATCTGTGGGTTTATTTCTGGACTCTCAGTTCTATTCCATTTGTCTGTGTGTCTCTTGTTATACCAGTGCCAGGCTGTTTTCATTACTGTAGCTTTATAGTATGTTTTAAAATCAGGAACTGTGGTTCCTCTTGCTTTGTTCTTCTCTTTCAACATTGTTTTAGCTATTCGGGGTCTCTTGTCATTCCATATAAAGTTGATTGATTTTTCCATTTCTATAAAGAAGGCCGTTGGAATTTTGATCAGGATTGCATTGAGTCTGTAGATCGCTTTGGGTACTGTTGATATCTTAACAATATTAAGTCTTCCAATCCGTGAACATAGAACATCTTTCCATTTATTTACATCTTCTTTAATCTCTTTCAGCAGTGTTTTATAGTTTTCATTGTATAAGTCCTTCATGCCAGCCAAGCTTTTTGATTAGCTGAAGGTTAAACCTATGCTTAGGAGGACAGATCTTACAGATTATGAAAGATTAGAAGTAAGGATACCAGTTAGGAGGTTGTTACAATTCTCAACATGTGTAGTGGGAGTGGACCGTTAGAGACAGAATTTATACATGGAGTTTAAAGTCTTCTAATAAAGTGGGTGTGAATGTTATGAGGAGGGATACAAAAGAGATTATACACTTTTTGCACTTAAGTTGCTTGGAGAGACTAAATATAAATACAAGCAGCTTTCCTGTTAGCTGTTGGTTTATCAAGCAACTCCTTTTTACAGCCATCTCTCACATCCCTCTTCTCCTGCTTCTATTGACTTCACCCTCTGATCCTCCCCTCCAGACTGCTGGTGTCTTTTCACTCCTCCATGAGGCTTGTTATGCTTAAGCTCACAATTGGGCCCTCCACCGAGCGTTTCCCCAGATTGTCTCCGGAAACGTCTTCTCCCTCACCGCTCGTTAAGAGGTTGCGGTGTGCAGTTCACTGAGTTGCTTGTGGAGCAGCTTACTTGCACTTAATTGGATGCTGCTTTGCTCATTACTCCCTCATTACTTGTCTTTAATGAAAGATTCTTCATTCTGCGGTGCAGCTAGTAAGCAGATTGTTGCAGAGTGTAATTATATAAATTATAACTATCAAATAGTGAGGAACATTGCACTAAGCCCCTGATAACTGAGGTGACTGTGGATTACTAGACAGCTGAGGACTGCACATTACCAGCCACCATTCATCATTATAGAATATTGAATATTGAATATTGAAAGAATTGTCCTGCTTCGGGTTGTTAATGGCTGTGCTAAGCTCCTGAACAGCCTCTTACCAGGACTGTTTCCATTTGGAACAGAGCCCTGACATGGCAACACACAGGCTGGAACGGATTTACAGTATGAGTAATGTAATTGGACTTGCAGAATTATAAATAATAACAATGTTCCCTTTTACAGAAAATTAAAATGTGTGTTAGTGACATTTTTCCCTGTTGCATACATAGCTTACAACCCCAGTGTTGCAGCAAGTTCAAAAAGCCTAATAATTCCAAGACACTAAAACAGCTTCTTTTATAGTTGGACCGTGGACGTTTTTTGCACACGGGGACACGGATACCCCAAAGCATTGCCGGTCACCTAGATAACCAGGCTCCAGTTGAGAGTCCCAGAGCTATTTCCCGCACCAGTGAGAGTGACCCGGTGAGTTGCTAATGTGTATCTTGGTTTTTTTCCAGGCTTATAATTTGTGTTGTTACCTTCATTTTACGTATCAGGAAAACTGAAACCCAAAGACGCTAAGCAGATTTACGTTAGTCAGGTAGACAGTGCAGCTGAGACAGCACTCTGGAGCCCAGGTCTTCCCAGTCCCTATCCGACACTGTGGTAACATAAAGCACTCAGGTCGGTACACATCTGTTCTGATAAAGTCCCAAAGCAGGAACTCACCACACTGCCAGAGAGTTTGCTGAGCACAGGGTAGATGCATGGTAAATACTTAGGAAGTTCAGCTGTCAGTTTAGCAGGTACTAATCTTAGTTTACGAGTGGGTTAACATACTTCTCCTTAAAACACCAGATAGTAAATATTTTAGGCTTGTGGACCTTAACAGCCTCTAATGCACCTATTCCGCTCTGCCATAAACAAATGGGTGTGGCTATGTTCCACCAAACCCTTATTTACAAAAATGTGTGACTGGCCATATTTACTAACCCAAGTATGGAGAATCCTCAAGAAATCAAAGTTACCTGCCCAGGATCACATGGTAAGGCAGGTACAGAAGCCAGGTTTCCTAATAACCAATCTAGTATTATTTTCCATCTTTCTAAATGGATTCCCTGGCCTCTAGAAAGGGAATTACCTTAATTTGTTGTAAGAAGAACAGCATATCTTAAAGTGAAGTCTGTTGGCAGAAACCAGGATGCCAGCAGTATTCAGTGTTGTATTTTCTAGTTCAGGTCCCATAAGGCTGGATATTGGTTTCTTTTCTCCTCCAGCATTGTCACTGCCTCTCATAAATGACATTAGCTATGTGATCTTTGCTAAAATGTAAAGCAACCAACAGCTTTTCTTTCTCCCTTTTTTGTCCCTATTTCTACCCTGTGAATCTTTCCATCTTAACGTAGGCTGTGTGGAAGGAGAAAAGATAATCCCATTACCCAAAACACCATCTCAGCAGGGTTGTTTTGTTTATGTCTCTAGCATTCACCTATTTTCACAAGCACAAAATGAAATAGAATAAATGAATAAAGTCATTGAAGTGTCTTTCAGCTTCCTCGGTAATTGTAGTCCCTTTATTATGCCAGTTCCTCTGGGGTTTCTATGGAAACAGCAGCATGCAGATGATCTTGTCACATGATTGGAGCATCTCTGTACACAGCGCAGAAGAATCCAGATGGCAAGAACTGTCGCTGGCACTCCCACATCCAGGGTATCCGTTGCTGAGCAACTGGCTTCGTCATTCAGGCTACCACTAGCTTGAAGTACACACTGTTGATTTGAGGACAGAAACTAGCATTTTTTATCTAAGAAAAGAAATGAAAAATATCTTTTCTGACTCTGAGACATGTTTCCTCTAGCAGGCCCTATCCACTTTTCCAGAGTCTTTGTCACTTTGTCTGTGACCCCATTAGACCTGTTTGCATTTTTATTTCATAGGTCAAGCATGGCGAGCAACAGGAGGGTCAGCACTACAACATCCCCCACCAGGATTTGAAGACTGTATTTCCCCATGGCCTGCCTCCTCGCTTTCTAATGCAGGTGCTCAAAACAGGGAAAGGAATTGGGAGGTGCAAAGGGCAGAACACAAGCTGTTGGTAGCAGAGGGGTGGGGTAAAGTGAGTAGAAGACTATGCAAGATGAAATTTGAATCTGAAAAAGAAAATTTAGCTGTTGATTGTATTTTGTGAATAACACAGTTACTACAGTTACCTTAAGCTAATGTTTATCTTCTGTTATCCATCTTAAATCTGTTTTTAGTGCCAGGTAAAATATTTTTAAATAAGTAAACAATATCCACCGGTTCTCCTTGAGCTAACCAACAGGTTTCTAGAAAGTTTAGCATTCCAATAAAGCAATTTAAGATTTGCCTTAGCAGGATATCATGAAAATTATTAATATTCTGCAGGGAAAAAAATCATAACACGTTCCTGAGCCAAATATAAATGACTTTGGTATTAGATGCATTCATTGTTACTCATTTTCATGAGTTTTCATGTAGTTTTGTGACCCAACGTGTGTAATCTCGGGTCGCTTTATGGCCATTTAAAGATTTCATGATTAACTGCAAGTGTAGTTTATTGGCATAATTGGTTCCTCTCACTAGTTCCTGTTGAATTATTTTAAGCCTCAGAAATTATTCCTACTTAATGAAATATCAAACTTGACTGTGCAGATGGTTTTTAATTTAAAAGCCAGAGGTTGTCATTTCTTCACTATACTTTGTTTCAGGAAATAGATGAAATACCAGTAAAGGAGTTAATTCTAGACCGTAGACAGCCTTCTCATCAAATATTTTGTTAAGATTGGAATTAGGATTCAACAGAAGGAAACGTACGTCCTAGCATTTTAAACTGTTCTTAAACACAGTGGAATCTCCAGCTTCAGGGTTGGGAGGACTTCTTGTCAAGCCAAGGTCCAAGGTCGCCAAGAAAGATACAAATTACACACAGGCACTGGTTGGAACAATGCTGTACTTAGAGAAGAGACAGAGCAAGAGTGGGTGTCGGTCCCTCATGGCGGGTGACTCCCCCCTCACAGCTGACACAGGGCTTGTGGTCTTCACACAACCCTTCAGTGCTGAATTTGAAGGACCCCGTTCTCTCCCTTCCTGGAACACGCACATATAAGCAGTTCCTGGGAATGCTGACATGTGCTCAGGGCAAGAGGGGAAAGATGCACTGTTATGTCACCAGCTGCTATGGGATGTGTTTTGGGTCAAGATGCCCTGGGAAAGGGAGTCAGCCCACACTCTCATCCCCTCCAAGAAGCCAGGCTGACACGTCTGTTTCTAAGCACAGGTTCGTCCGTGGCTCACAGTGAAAGGTGGCAGGCTGCGCTTGGACTGCCCCCTTCCACAGTACACCTCCAACTTTTCCTGGGACCCCAATAAACAGAAACAAAGCAACTAAAATTTTTGGTATACCCATTGTCCGTTCTAGACAGTGAGCTGCATGTCCTTAGCGCATACACCATGTGAGGGGCTGAGTCCTTGGTTGACCCCTTCAGAGACTGCAATGCACTGGCTGTGCACCAGGTCGGGTTAAGAGAGCACCTTTCCTCGAGGCTTGCCAGGTAAAGCCTTTGTAATTGCCTATGGTCAGGCCTGAAAAACTGCACATACATTTTTAGCCAGACTCCTCAACACCTATCTTTAATTAACCGTTTGTATGGCGTGGGGAGACATGGTGGAGGCGTCTGACTTCCTCTAACTTCACCAGAGGGAGGGAGAATCATTATCAGCATCAACAGCCCACAGCTGATTCCTGTGAGGTGGCGGTCAGACATACCTCCTCTCTCCAACCTTTCTACCAATTCTCACACCAGTCCCTTCCCCAGCACTCTCTATTTCTCTGCTGAGTTCGATAATTCATTGCAACAGCCACACACAACTCACAGACAATACTCACGATTATGGGGTTTATTAGGAGGCTCACACGTGTATGCCAAGAAATTTGGAAGAGAGGTATCTGGCCGGCCAGCTGGAAGAGATTCATATTTGTGCCCATTCCAAAGAAAGGTGATCCAACAGAATGCAGAAATTATAAAACAATATCCTTAATACTACACATAAGTAAAATTTTACTGAAGATTATTCAAAGGCAGTTGCATTAGTACATCGACAGGAAACTGCAAGAAATTCATGTTGGATTTAGAAGAGGATGTGGAACAAGGAATATCATTGCTGATGTCAGATAGATCTTGGCTGAAAACAGAGAATACCAGATGTTTACCTGTGTTTTATTGACTGTGCAAAGGCATTCGACTGTGTGGATCATAACAAATTACGGGTAACACTGCAAAGAATGGGAATTCCAGGACATTTAACTGTGCTAATGAGAAACCTGTACATAGGCCAAGAGGGAGTTGTTCAAACAAAATGGGGATTATCGTGTGGTTTAAAATCAGGAAGGGTGTGCGTTACGGTTGTATCCTTTCACCATACTGATTCAACCTGTATGCTGAGCAAGTAATCCAAGAAGCTGGACTATATGAAGAACATGGCATCAGGATTGGTGGAAGACTCCTTAACAACCTGCGATATGCAGATGACACAACCTTTCTTGCTGAAAGCAAAGAGGACTTAAAACACTTAACTGATGAAAATCAAAGACGACAGTCTTGAATATGGATTACACCTCAACATAAAGAAAACAAACATTGTCACATCTGGACCAGTAAACAACATCATGATAAATGGAGAAAAGATTGAAGTTGTTTTACTTGGATCCACAATCAATGTCCATGGAAGCAGGAGTCAAGAAATCAAATGATGTATTGCATTGGGCAAATCTGCTGCAAAAGACCTCTTTAAAGTGTTAAAAAGCAAAGATGTCACTTGAGGACTAAGGTGCGCCTGTCCCAAGCCATGATATTTTCAGTGGCCTCGCATACATGCGAAAGCTGGACAATGAAGAAGGAAGACCGAAGAAGAATTGATGTCTTTGAGTTATGGTGTTGGCGAAGAATATACCATGGACTGCCAGAAGAACGAACAAATCTGTCTTGGAAGAACTACAGCCAAAATGCTCCTTAGAAGGGAGGATGGTGAGACTTTGTCTTAAGTACTTTGGACATGTTATTAAGAGGGACCAGTCCCTGGAGAAGGACATCATACTTGGTTATGTAGAAGGTCAGTGAAAAAGAGGAAGACCCTCAACAAGATGGACTGACATAGTGGCTGCAGCAGTGAGCTCAGACATAGCAATGATTGTGAGGATGGCGCAGGACTGGGCAGTGTTTCGTTCTGTTGTACACAGGGTCGCTATGAGTCAGAACCGACTCAGCAACACCTAACAACAGCAACAACAATTAGGGAAGTAACAGGTGACAATTCAGGATCAGAAATGATTCAGGATACAGTGCTTCAATCAGGACAGCTTCTCAGCTGTGCCCGCAGGCAGGTCTCTCCCTGACCCTCGGTGCCTTGGACCTCGTGGGCCAGCTAGTCTCTCCCCTGCTCTGTTACAAAGCTCTTTAGCTCCACCAGTAAGTGCCCAGAGGCACCCTACTCAACCAGCAAGCCTCCTGCCAGAAGGTATTTAGCTCTCTATCTCTGTGGGTCAGCGAGCCTAGCTCCACCAAGTACCCAGAGGCACCCCACTCCTCCAGCAAGCCTCCTGCCTGAAGGCGCTCGGCTCTCTCACTGTAAGGGTCAGCAAGCCTAGCTCTGCCAAGTGTCCGAAGGCACTCCACTCTGTCAGCAAGCCTCCTACCCGAAGGCAGTCAGCTTTGTCCTTCCGTGAGTCAGAAGCCCACCACACCGTCATCTGCTGGTCTCCTGGGTCTAGGAGCTTCTTGGTGCAGGGACCTCTCAGCTCTTCCTTTTAGTAGTAGTGTGGTCCCCCGTCTGCTCTGGGATTGGTTGTTTTTTTAAGCCTATCGGGATAACAAAACTTAGCAATCCCCTCATTAGAGTTCTGTGCTTCCACCCCCAACGGTGTCCATGCACCATATTTGCATTATTAAGCTGTCCAATCCCCTTGGTGGGCCACAAGCACCTTATTTGCATAGTCCCACCCAATCATTGTGTGGGAGTCACAAAGACTATAGTGAGAAGGGCCATAATAAGTAATTCACTGCCCAACACCCTTCAGGTTGCATTCAGACTGGCTCAACCACCAGTGCCCTGGAGGGAATGACTCATCCTTTATGTCTGCAGTTACCATTTAAGTGAAGGCCAGCTCCCCCACGGTTGTTTGTGTGTTTTAGTACTGCTATTCCTAATAATGGCATGTTTAATATGTGTCATGTTTTTCAAGGTTGTACTGTCCATTAAGTTTGTACTTACCTGTTAATTCCTTCTCCATTCCACTTGTTCTGTTAAGATGCCTTTAAAAAATATGGACAGTTTTAAATCTCATCTGGTATACTTATAAATAGGATCTGTGTAGATACTCATTGTTGTTAGTAGACATAATTAAATACTTTATTTGCAAATCACTTGCACGCCTGTCAGTACGTCCCATGTTTTCCCAGCAGCGTGTACCTGGTGGCAGGAGGGGAATGATAAACACATGAACTCTGAGGTCAGTGTGCTGGGGATGTCAGGTGTGGCCTGCACCCTGGGGAGCTGCTGTGTGCATGGTTTTCTCCAGGAAAGTCCAGATGGTTAAAATAAGAAGAATTATCTGAAAATGAAGAGAATTAACATTTCTTGAATGTTTACAGTATGTCAGATACTTTGCAAAGTCCTGACATCCTTTAATATTTACATCGCCCCTAAGTGATGTATAAAGTGATAGTATGAGATGCCTGGATTATTTATAGATTTTAATTAACTGATGTTATTATCTGTGCTTCATTAACAGGAATAATCAAAAGCCGACTATTAGGTCACTTAGTGTGGAATAATGTGTTTCAGTCTTCGGCTAAATTACATGAGCTAGGTTTTCCAATTCAATACCAACCCATCCTCTCCCAGCTGAATAAATTAAAGACGTTGCAATTCAGTGCCCTTGGCGGCTGCATTAGGCTCAGTGTGTATAACGGGAAGAGATTAGAAGCTCTCCACCCACCATCTCCTTCCTCCTTCCCTGTTATGTTAGGTGAAGACTTTCAGTGAAGCTTGCCTGATGGTAAGGAAACCAGCGCTGGAGCTTCTGCAGTACCTGAAAAACACCAACTTTGCACATCCAGCCGTACGATATATTCTCTGTATCCTTTCCTGCCTGCCTGGACCCTCTGAGCCAATGCTTTCCCCCTTCAAATGAGGGAAAAGAAAAGATAGATGCCAATGTATCCCTTCTGGTGATGTTTTCTTTAACAACAAGTGCTTTAGATGGGGAGAAAGGAACGGGAAAAACCCTCAGTCTTTGTCACGTTGTTCATTTCTGTGCAAAACAGGACTGGCTGATACTGCATATTCCAGATGGTAAGAATTTCCTGTCTTCACTGTGTCGGGCTTATTTATCCTGGTCCTCTGACAGGGCTCTGAGGCCTGAGAGAGGGGCCTTTGCTCCAGGTGCAGAGCAGTCTGAGCTAGTTTACCATAATTTCTTCAGGCTATTAGGGCTGAGCGTCATTGCAAGATGAAGTATATGTGACGAGGAAATTCAGCCAGAAGCTCCCTGGACCCTTGTGGTACAGAGAATGAAGTGCTCAGCCCCAGCTCCCCTTACTTCGACATCTCATGCCTGGGGGCACGACCTCCTGCCTTAGACGTCACAGGCGTTGTGGCCATGAGTTCACAGTTTGCGGACCCTCGGAGCCTTGGACGTGGCGCTGTTTATAGTGTTCTAGGGTTGCCAACATGGATCTTAAAACAGTTTCCTCTTCACACGTTGCATATATCCCTTGTTTGTTCACTGTTGTGTGCATCCATGTTTTCTGACGTAGCTTTTAAAACTGCCAGGAGGCAGAGGTCACATTTGATCCCCTTGGTGAGCCTTGTGTATCGCTTGTCATGATAATGTTACTCTAAGACGGCCCAGACCCAAAAGTAAGCCCCTGAAGCAAGAAGACCTTAAGAAATATATCTGGGAAATGAAAGCCACTTCCCACAACTTCGAGAGGCCTAGAGTAGTTGGAGTTGAATGCAGTCAGGCAGTTCCTGCCTATTTCGTCTTCTTGTGCTTTTTTTGAAGCTCTTCGTTGGGTGAAAAATTGTCGGGATCTTCTGCAGTCTACCCATAACAAACAGCGCTTGGATCAACCTTTAGAGGCTTCAACCTGGCTAAAGAATTTCAAAACTTCCAATGAGCGCTTCCTGAGCCAGGTGACTAGACTCCCAGGAGGTTGGTGCTGGGCGGTCTTCATGTACGTTCTGTCTGCCTTGTGCCATGAGGACCTGGTAGGTCGACTGTGGGGAACTGATATTGCAGTGGGAATGACTATACCATTCTGTATATCTTTCATACATGTACCTCAGAGCGGATTCACAACTTGAAATTCATTTCTCCATGTGAAATAAAGAGGTGACGGTCGGTTGTTCCCATTTTGTGGGTGGCAAAGTGAAGTGCAGATTGATACACCGACTTTTCCAAGGTCACAGCTTCAGATTCCCCACAAGCACATTTTCAGCTATAGTTTTCTCCAGAGAAGAGCGTTTGAAAGTTCCAGGCAGAAATAGGCTAGAAAGCATTCACTATCATACTGAGGTTTCTTACAGGACCTGGAAAATAGATTAAAACTGGCTCCTAATAACCTTAGCTTCCTACCTTCTCAGGTAGGCATGGGTTCACCCTTAGGCTAAGTAGTAGGGTTTTGTTTGCTTTTAGATAAAAGTGCAAGAGAAGTATGTCTGGAACAAGCGAGAAAGCACTGAGAAAGGCAGCCCTCTGGGAGAAGTGGTTGAACAGGTAAAGGAAGACATCCTGAATGTGTTACCTTTTTGTACCCAGAGGCGGCTTCTTTTAGGACTGTAAGCCGTTGTCTCTCCCCCCACAGGGCATAACGCGGGTGAGGAACGCCACAGATGCGGTTGGCATTGTGCTGAAAGAGCTAAAGAGGCAAAGTTCTTCAGGTCTTTTTCACGTCCTGGTGGCAGTGGATGGAGTCAATGCTCTCTGGGGGCGGACCACACTGAGGAGGGAAGATAAAAGCGTGGTAGGAAGATGGAGTTTCTCTTCCAGTTTCTGCACTGTGTTTTGCAGAGCCTGGGACATAGCTGCATAGAGCGTACAGTGTATCTTCCTGCCCTAGGAGTGTGTGAATTCAAATGTAGTGAAAATAGTGTCAGACAGAGAAGATCAGGCCAAGAGCTCCACCCTCCAATGCAGACGAAAGGACAGTGTTTTGAAAAGAGCATTAACAGCAGAAGCTATGATGGGGTTGTTTTCTTTTTTTTTTTAACTTTTTCTCTCACGATTCTCTTTTCAAAATGAGGCTGTGATCTAAGTAGAGAAGCTCAGGAGCATCGAGGAAGGGGGTGGTTTGGGACAGTGGGTATTTTCTCTCTTGGGGATTGTTTTTAAATCCCCAAACATAGCAGCTCTAGGTCCAGCAGCTATGTAGAAAGGAAGAGCTATTGCGTCTCTGGCGCTTTGCGTCTGTGATTGTACCTTCTCGCATCCTTTCTGCCTTCCTTCCATTCCAGAAGTAGAAAGCTTATCCCAGAGGTTTACCTCCGGGTACTACCGTGTACATCGTGGTTGAGGATTTTTTATTGTTGTTCACTTGTCTCAGGGGGGGCTCCAGGAATAGCAAATAACGATCTTCTCTGTCTCTGTCTCTCCCCTTGACCAATGTGCAGATTGCTCCAGAGGAACTAGCGCTTATTCACCACCTCAGAAAAATGGTGAAAAATGACTGGGTGAGTGAGTGCCTGTGATACCTGACACATATCGGAAAGAAATGTGTTTTTATTTTAAAGACAGTCGACTACTTCATTGCTGATACTTTCCAGTCTCTCTGTAATTTTATGGACGGGAAGTTCTTACATCATATCTTACTGAATACCCATATCTGTACCAAGCTAGGAGTAGGGTCTGGAACAAAATCTATATGTATTTGCTTTCTGATCTTTCCACAGGACTGGAGTAATCTTATTCAAAGCCATTGCATTTAAATATTGGCCTAATTTTACTTCGTTTGCAGTTGTTTAAAGTGGTTTTATATCTTCACACCATCTTCAGAAAAGATTTTAAGACCGGAAATATGTCTTGATAAATTTCAGATCGTACAGCACCTTAGTGTCAGAGCCATACCTAGAATAACCATTTCCATTGCCATTTAACTGTGCTAGACCACGCCGCTGCACCACTGTATGGCACAAAGATCTTCAGATGATTGAAATGCACTTTTCTGTGTTTCTTCAGCTTTTCTAACTCAGCTTTTCTCCTGTTTTTTAGAATGGAGGTGCCATTGTGTTGACTTTGAGCCAGACTGGTTCCCTTTTTAAGCCCCGGACAGCCTACCTGCCCCAGGAGTTGCTGGGAAAGGTCAGAGCATTGGAAAATTTGATTCTCCTTAGAGAGTCATTCTGTCTAAAGAGATCTCTTTCTTTTTCCTTTTATCTATTTTGATATAATTTCAGAAAAGTTTCATTCCTGTATACCCTTCACCCAGATTTCCAGAATGTTCACATTTTACCATATTTGCTTTCTCGTTGTCTCTCCCCCTCTCCTCTCTACATGTGTTCTCTTCCCTTCTCTTTCTGTCCTCTCTCCTCTGTTGACACATTTTTTTTCTGAATCGTGTGATAGTAACCGGAGCCCTGGTGGTGCAGTGGTTAAGCGATCAGCTCCTAACCAAAAGGTCTGCAGTTCAAATCCACCAGCCGCTCCTTGAAAACCCTAATGGGGCCGTTCTGCTCTGTCCCGTAGGGTCGCTATGAGTCAGAACTGACTCGACGGGAACAGGTTTGGTTTGGTTCGTTTTTAACCTGCAGACACACGGTACCCCTTTCTCTCTGCTTTACTAGTGTATTTCCTAAAATCAAAGACATTATATGAACACGGCACAATAAATCGGGAAACTGACATTAAGTTACCTAATCTATAGGATGTATTCTGATTTTACTAATTATCTCAATACCCTTTATTTAAAAAAGTCTTAGATGATGTGGTATATTCAGTTGTCATGTCTGTTTAGTCCTGTAATCTGGGACAGTTCCTCAGTCTTTGTCTTTTATAATCTTGATATTTTGGAAGGTCAGTGATTTTATAGGTTATGAGCTTGTCAGATGTTTCCTCTTGCTGAGATATAACTACGCACTTTGGGTAGGAACATCACAGAAGTGATATTGCATCTTTGCAGTGCATCGTATCAGAAGGTACATGCAGTCTCTTCTGTTACTGGTGGTGTTAACTTTGAATACTTGGTTTCCACCTGGCTTCTCCTTAGGAAGGTTATTATTCTCCCTTTAATTAATACCTTGTGGAGGTAAGATTTGAGACCAGGTAAATATCCTGTTTTTTCTCACACTTTCACCTACTAGTTGTAGCATCCATTGGTGATTCTTCCTACATCAGTAGTTATTACCCCAAATGGGGATTTTCCAAGCCCCGTCATTTCTTCTATCAGCTGGCTTCCTACTGTAGGTAGGAACTTCTCCCTTTCATTAAGTCATGTGTGTATGTATGTCAGTCAGTCAGTCAGGGTCAGCTTGTAGATTCTTATTTAATGGGCCCTAAATTTTACTATCATTATTTATTTTGACATTCAGATTATTTCATACTTGGCCGGTAGGCGCCCCTTCAGGTTGACTCCTATGTCCTTTTGACACGTCCCCACCATCCGTTGAGCCCTTCTTTCTCACACAAGCATATGTTCCAGTCTCATCTTGTACTTTCCAGGCCCCAGCCTTGGAATCAGCCACTGCTCCAAGGAAGCAGGAGTTCATTTTAGAAGAGAATGGTATTTAGAAATCAAGACCTAGATGTTAGGTGTTCTCATTGCTACTGGGGTCTCACTGCCTTGAAGACCTCTCAGCAGAGCTAGTAAATATGTAATATTCATATATGTGTATATGTATGTATGTATGTGTGTCTCTCTCTCGTTACATTAAAAAGCCCTGAGCTCATACTGATCCTTCCAATCCCAGTCTAGCACCACAGCATTCATCGTCTCCTTTGCACGTTTGTAACCCCCGTCTCCAACAATGAGAAGTCGGCTCTCGCTCAGTCCGAGAATACACTAACAGTACTTTCAGAATTCCTCACCCTTGACTCTGTGAAAAAGAAGCTACTCATCATGTTTGATACTTGTTTACAGTAGTTCTTGTCTTTAGCCTAACGATCTATAGTCTGAATACTCGGTGTAGAAGTTACTTGGGTTACATCTTCCCTCTCTCCTTCAGTGTTACGGTTGAAATTCAAAACACAGATTGATCCATTTGTTTCAGTTTATGTTCCACTTAAGAGTCTTTTCCCCATCCTTCATTTCTGTTTTTGATTATATGAAACATTAACTTGAATCTAAAATTTCAGAACTGTCCAAAAAAAAGTATCCTCAGACAACTGGCACCCCCCCTTAAGCATTATCCCTTTTTTAAATATAATTTATGCTGCCATGTTGCGCAGCAGTAACCAGCCGCTAGGTGGAGTCCTGCACAAGACAGGGTGACTAGTGAGGAGTAGAGCAGAACAGACCAAAAACCTTGCCCTCAAAGTGCGTAAATACTGTTTGTCTGCTGATTTGTCCCTTAGCTAAAACTGTACTTTGATCCTTTTCCACCTCCAGGAAGGATTTGATGCTCTGGATCCCTTTATTCCCATCCTGGTTTCCAACTACAGCCCAAAAGAATTCGAAAGTTGTATTCAGTATTATTTGGAGAACAACTGGCTTCAACATGAGAAAGGTCAGGTTTGTTTTTGCGTTTTTCTGTCAGGTCACATGAGTCCCACTGAGTCTGAGCCTTGACCTCTCACTTCCTCCCTCAGTAGCAGCAGCAGCCTGTAATTTGTATTTCATCTTTTTCACTTTATCCTGACTTCTGGCTAAATTAAATGGTACAGAAAGGGGGTGGGTTTAAGGTTTCATTTACAAAAGAGATTCTCTCTCTCCCTAAATTGTCATCTTAGTCCCAAATAAAATGCTCATCCTAAAGCAGGCAGCCAGGCCAAGTCCAGCCACCGAGCCGTTCCCAGAGATCGGGGTTGCTGCTGTTCTCATTGTTGCATTCGTCCATCATTCAGCAAACTCTGAGTGAGCGATGTGCCAGGGCACCCACAGAATAATTCATACCACGTAGCAGCTGCCGAACCACATCGTGCCACAGCTGTCCCAGCATGTGTATTACGGGGATATGGAGAGCAAGGATTTCAGGAAACAAGACAAAATCTGTTGACTTTGATTGAAAACATTCTATCTCTTCATTTTACTCCTGCCCTCACCTCTGGACATGAGGGGGATGTAAAGGAAAAGGCTGTCCTATCACCAGGTATTAGAGACTTAACTATAATTGGAGCAGGTTGTTAAAGGAGCAGAGAGAAGAGTATAAAAGAAGCTAAGTATGGTGGGTGGGAAGCACAGGCGAGAGATTTCCAAGGGGGCTGGACACTTTGACAGAGTCCTGAAGTCCAGACTGTGCTCTTAGAAAGGAGGGAGGAACGCTGTATTCGAGGAGTAGAAAAAAAAAGGGAAAAATTATGCACGAGAAAAACAGCCTACTGAAATAGAGGATCTAGAAGCGAGGGCTCTTGAGAGACGCTGACAATCACATTGGAATGTAATCCGGGTAACACAGCCCCTGGCTACAGAATTTTCTGGGAGACACAAATGCAACAGGAGAAAATCACCATTTATCTGTGTTTGACCCCATTTTAGCTCCGACAGAGGAAGGGAGAAAGGAGCTGCTGTTTCTCAGTAATGCAAACCCCGGGCAGCTGGAGCGGCTCTGTGCCTACCTCTAGGCCCTGGCACAGCAGGCCTGGAAGACCAGTCGGACGAGGAAGGCCCAGGGTCACAGGACTGCACGGGCTCCTGACGTCACTGAAATGGGTCCTCGTGAAGTGACTGTAACAGCAGTAAGCAAGCCCGGGTCCCAGAAACTAGTGTCAGTTTACTGGGTGTGGTTTTCATAGTAAGATGATCACGGATCTTTTCTTTAAAAAATAAATGATCTTTTTAGGTGTTCTGTTAAATTTATAATATGGAAAGAGTCATCATGAATTTCTCTTACTTGTTGGAGGTCTGAAGAGATGATTGAATTCTACAGACATTTTCAGTTCTATTATTTTCCAAGCTTTATTCAACTCAGGAGATCAAGATACTCAGCTTAACTTCTCCCTCCCAGACACTACCTCATCTGCTTCCTACTTTTATTCCTTGATGGCCCAAGAGCCCACTGAAAATCCAGGAGTTTCTGGCAGCTTTGTATGGTACAGCCCCCTTCTACCAGGTCCCAGGGACTTGTGCACTGAGGCTCTGCAGCCCACGCTGTATGTAATGGGTTACTTTGTCTTTATTACATGCACAGTAGTACTATGTACCATCCTTAGGAGAACTAAGACATAGTCACTGAAATAATTAGAGTTTAATTCTCTCACTGCACCCAGGTTAGTATATAAAGAGTCAGAAGTTCAATTCCTAGATCTGCGACTTACTAGCTCTATGTCTTAGGGACTCTTCAGCCTGTCTCCTCTATGTAGTAGTGATAACAATTCCCAGCTTGCAGGAGTTTCATGAGAATTACATAGTAAACATGAAGTGCCTAAAACAATGTTGTTAGGTGCCATCGAGTCAGCTCCAACTCACAGGGACCCGATGTACAACAGACAGACCATCGGCTGGTCCTCCTGCACCATCTTCACAGATGTTGTTACACTTACGTCCACTGCTGGCGTCCGCCGTGCAGAGTACCTTCCAACCTAGGATCCTCATCTAGCACTATATCAGACAGTATTCTGTTGTGATCCACAGAGTTTTCATTGGCTAATTTTTGCAAGTAGATCATGAGGCCCTTCTTCCTAGTCTACATGTGGAGCTCCGCTGAAACCTGTCCACCATGGGTGGCCCTGCCGGTATTTGAAATACAAGGGCATAGCTTCCAGCACAGTAACAACACAAGCCACCAAAGTACAGTAACAGACATCAGGGTGGTGGTAACGCGGTATCCACCTTTATAACTTGGATTTTACGAGGCTTTATTAGAAGAATCACTATAAGGGTGGCAGTCTGTAAACGGGTAGGTCAGCTTTTTCTCTCAAACAGCTTCCCTTACCCCTAAGCCGCCACCTCCTCAGACTCCCTGTCAGAAACATACCTTCCAATCCTGACCCAAACCCCAGTCATCCAGGTTGGCTGCCTTGTAATGGATCGGTTTAGCCACACTGATGCTGTAGCATTAAGACACAACAGCCTTACAGAGACTACTTCACCAGCCCAACAATCGCAAAGGCTAAAACCCACGTTAACAACTCCCTTTCTGTATGTGTATCTCCTAATGGTCCTGTTTCTCCAGTTGAACCCCGACTGATAAACCCCTCAGTCTGGGTCATCAAGCCTTTAGATTTATCTCAGTACCTCAAATCCAATTCCTATTCCCCATTATCATTACCATAGCTCACACCCCCATCACCTCTAGTGTGAGGTACTGTGTTCGATCCTCTGTTTTTCTGCCTCCAACAGCTCTTCCCTGAACCAGAGCTACCTAAGCGAGCTTTCTACACCCAGCCTATCACGCCATTCCACTCAGTGGTTCTGTCATGTACGTTACAAAAGTCAGACCATACAGAAACATAACACAAAATCGGGGGCCTTCCCTGTCACCCATTTCCCTTTTCCATAGGCCACCTCTATTCCCAGATTCTAGAGATATGGCTGTCTCCTCTTTCTCTTGTAAGACTCTCTCCTCACCTCTCTAGTACCACTTGACCCCTCACTTGGGGAGCTCGTGTCCACTTCCATGGAAGGTTCTTCTTTGATTTCACCACAAACGTCCTGCTCAGGGGATCCACCGGAGGTTTCTTCCCCAGGCTCTTCAGGTTCCACTTTGACGATCTCCTCTAAATTCCCAAGGGGAGAGTTGAGAGATTCCTGTAAGGCCTGAGGCAGGGCCTCTAGGGCCTGCCCCCCTTCCTCTGTTTTCACAATAGTCCAGCGATAGGTGCAGTTCTCTGACAGTTCTTCCTGGCACCCCTTATCTGCTTGTAGAGGCCCTGTGCTCTGCTCCTCTTTGGGGAGGACAGTAGTACCGAGAGGAGATGGTTCCTGGGGTTCCACTTTGGGTTCTAGGCCTTGAACGGCACCTTTCCCTTCAGCCAAAGGATGAGCAATGTCCATATTGCCTTGGGCCTTATCTTCAGGGGCAGGGGGCACGTGAAGATTCACAGAGTTGCCAGAAACAATTAAGGGTGGGATGGAGGAGGCCACAAGGGGCTGGTTCAGTGGACAGGGAAAGGAAGTCGGGTTAACCAAGAGGGTGGCGATAGGAATGGTCTGAGAACTCTGGGCCACAGCTGCATTCACAGGCTGGATCATGTTACATCCAGTGCTCAGGCTCACCACCTTCACGGTGGTGGCAGGGACAGTGAAGATGACAGGTGCAGGGTGGATGAAGGGGGCAGGTTTCAGACACGGAGAGGCCTTGGCCCCCTTTCTCTTTGGGGGTCTCCGTTTCACACAGGGCTTTCGAAACTTAGAAGGGGCAGGTGAGGGCAGCATTACCTTGGGCACAGGGGCAGAGGAGAGAGGGAAGCTGGTCCTGGCCTCAGGCAGTGCCAAAGACTCAAAACCATGACCCTCTGTGACTTCCAGTGGAGGGACACCTGGCATTGCCTGGATCGGGTGAGGAATCTGACCCACCATTTTACTCTGAGGGGTTTCTGATTGAGTTGATTGGGCTGGTGTTTCCCCAGAGTTGAAGCTAGGCTGGAGAGAGGGGCTGGGTCGGACAAGGAGGGGCTTCAGGCCCGATGACCGCTTCTGTCTCCAAGCCTTCCTGGAAAAACGCTTGGCACTTGGCTTGAGTTTCAGGACTACACCCTTCGGCAACAGCAGTGGGTACTGAGCTTCACTCCCCAATTCTGAGCTGCCTTTGTTCAGGCCTGGGTCAGAGCTGGTCTCAGGAGCTCCGGTCACACTTCCTGCCTCGCCAGCACCATCAGCCAGGTGCCGCATTTCCTTCTGGATGGATGGCAAACTGGCCTGTTGGGAACAAGAACACTCTAATCCATCACATGTCAGAATTGGGGAAAAAGAATAGGACTCTCCAGACTTCAGAAATCTTCCCAAGACAGTCTCAAGACATCTTTTTTTTTCTACCTCTTTCTCAGTGACATTCTGGCTGTTTATTTTTTTTTTTCAGTTGTATTTTAGATGAACGTTTACGTAACAAACTAGCTTCTCGTTAAACAGTACACCTATGGTTTTCTGACGTTGGTTACCAACACTCACAACGTGTCAACACTCTCCCTTCTCAACCTTAGATTCCCCATTACCAGTTTTCCTGTCCCCTCCTGCATTCTCGTCCTTGCCCGAGTTGGCGTACCCATTCAGTCTCATTTTGTTTTATGGGCCTGTCTAATCTTTGGCTGAAGGCCGAACCTCAGGAGTGACTTCAGTACTGAGCTAAAACGGTGTCCGGGGGCCATACTCTTGGGGTTTCTCCAGTGTATGTCAGGTCAGTTCAAGACATTTTTTCAAGAAGGACTTTTCAGCACAATATCAAATTTCTACTAGGACTACATGCCAATTATATGCTCTAGATATTTTTCTCTGATTTTCCTTTAGGAAACTATCATTTTACCCAGTATTTTAAAAAGGCTGTAGAATCCCCTGGGTCGGGGGAGGAAACACCGGGGAGGGATGGTCAGCGAGGAAGACTTCTTAGTCCTAGTTCTACAACTAAACCATTAGAGGCTTAAGATAGCCGTTGATGTTTCTACTGGGGTCTTCCGTAACCTTCTGCCTCCTACAGACACTGAGGGGGGTTAAAGGTCATACCTTTAACCAGAAAGGGAGTCGGTGTTCTTCCCTCTCTACAGGCGGCTTCCACTGATGTGGCTGGACTTCTTCACAGCACTTCACCAAGACGGGCAGCTGTTTGGTCTTCTTATACAACTGAGCATGAAGAAATAAAGTGTAAGTTACACTCCTTCCAAAAACATTGCCCTCTGTCAGACAGGGGAGGGGGCAGGCAGTGGTTTGAGACATTTTTACATGTACTTATGTCACACACACACACACACACACAGACACACACAGACACACACACACAGACACACACACACACCATGCACCGCGCATGCTGAATACTCTTGCATTTTAAATTAAGCTAATCTCTAATCAATAAAGATTTTACAATTACTATCTTCCATCCCTATTCTGGTCACCAGGAAAGAGGAAGTTTAGGTCACAGAGAAGAGGACGCAAACAGAGTAATCTTACAGAAGACGTGCTCCTGCCCAGCAGCGGCAGTAATAGTGCCTCAGCCCTCATCCTGGGCACACGGAAGCAAATGGTGGTGTGAAGGGCATGAGAAGCGAGGGAAGTAACAGCGGAGTCTGAGACAGCTCAGTGTTAAATGTGAATGAAGAGGGGACCTGAACTGAAAACCCTGACAGGGAGCATCTATTCGGTCAACATCTGCTGACCGCCTTCTACGTGCCGGGCACTGGGCTACAAGCTGAGCGTACAGACGTGAGAAGCACTCCCGCCTCTTAAGGAGCTTACAGACGACTGGGAGGAACAGTCAGGTAGACCAGTAATGTCATCCTGCATAAAAAGTACAGGCAAACATGCACGAATAGATGGCGCCCAACTCAAACTTGGACAAACA